AACCGAGAACCGGGATCATATATGGTTCTCTTGGTCTGAACAGTCAGCAGCCAGCAGATGTCCTGAGCCCACCACTCCCAGAAGACTCGAGAAGCTCTTTGAGGTTGAGGCTTCGCTTTTGGAGATGCTCGTCAACGCTTGCCTTAAAAAGCAAGTTTTGTCTGACCTCGTCATCGTCAAGAGCTCAGCTTTATGTGGTTCAGTTCTATTAGTAGAACCCTGCCTCCAGACCTATGACTGTTGGAAGTAATGCAACCAGGTCGTTGGTGTGGGGCACCATAGCGCCGGTGGCCAGCCAGTCGCAGAGCACTTAGCTTCTCGTCGGCTCGCGACAGTCTGCCGCTTAGCAGACTCGGATCGATGCTGTAGGTTGGACCTGCTGTGCTCAAGTTCTTGAGTTCGGCCCTTGGGCTTCACATTCCGCCAGCGAGATGAAGCCGCTTCCACGGCCTGGCCAGGCGAGCTCCGGATGCCTGTGGCGTGACTTGCCCAGCCGTGTCCTTCTGCACTGACTGGTAGTCGTCCGGGTGTGATGTGTCGATGCGCCGTTTCGGTTCTCAGCCTTCGGTGCGTCGAAAGCAGGTTGGGATCCATCCTGTAAGCCATGTAAACGATCTTTAAGGAGCCTTATATGCACTGATCGAGAGTCGGAGAGCAGAAGCAAGCACTGAAAGCCAGCTAGACGAAAGCATCTCATGCAGTGGCTATGTGGACGCAGGATTTTTCGTCAAGCTCTGTCAAGCTCATGAAACGCACGGATCGGCGAATTGAGTGCTTGATCTGCAGGAGAAGCAATCGACATGCAGGGGCAAAAGGAGCAACGGCCTAAGATGGTGTGAGTCAGCCGGACAAGCCTTGTTGCGATAAAAGCTGTGGGAGAGAAGCCTTGCGTGACTTGGATCGAATCCAAACGTGTCTGTGCTCTCATGTCAAGTGTCGTCCTCTGCCAAGTCGAAACGACTGGTTTCCAGCTTCCTTGAAGCCATGGGGTGCTGCGGATCTGTAAATGTTGACCATCCCGCTTCCGCTGCGTATATAGGGAAGACTCGCAGCAATGGGCTCGGTAAAGCCTTCCTTATTTTGGGAGTCAAGGACCAGAACATGACAGGCAAGGTGTACCTGAGTGGTGCTGCAACGAGTGAGCCGCAGTTGCTGGAATCCGTCGATGCAGCTCTTAAGAAGACGAATGCCGGGGTGACTCGGGCCTCGGATGAGCATGACAAGCTCTGGGATGTTGCATGGCATAATACCAAGATGACCAGTGGATACCAATTCCTGTCACTCAAACAGCCGTTCTTCCCGATTGGTCGCAATGTTTCGAGATTGCATCACTTGTGATGTTTTGGTAGTTTTTGTAGGAAGCCCCTGAAAGGGGAGCTGCCAAGTTTGTCTGTCACAGTCGTGAATCTTTGTAGAGGTGGTGGGGCTCTTGGATGCCCTGGGTGAACATGGATGGATTCCTTCAGCAGCGCCCAGCTACGGAGGCCCCATCGACGACAAGGTTTCTGTGGAATGGCCAATGTTCATCTGTCAAAAGGCTCGCGATCCGAGTGCACGTGTCACGTCTAAACGGATTCTAAACACCTCAGCTGCCGCACCTGGCCCAGGATGTCGAGCAGATCTATGCCAAGGAAACGCTCTTGATCGGCATTAAAGACCAGAACATCCCAGGCAAGCTCTGCATTTGTGGCCCTCCCGATGCAGTCGCCGCTGGTCTACATTAACATTCGAATTGAGTCGAGTTGTCACAAAAACCCAGTGCCAACTCTGAACCCAGAGGACAAACTCAAGGGCGACTTTGCGAGCAGACTAAAGCAGCTGAGCCCGGAAGCCAACGAGAGTTTCGATGACTATGACACAGCCCAAGAGTGGGACGTGGTCTATCGCAACACCTCGATAACTTCTGGCATGCAGGCCTTCAGCTTAGCTAAACCTTATTTCCCCAAAGGCAACGTCCTTCACGGTCTGGTGGAAGAGGTCTACAAGATTGGCTGGCGGCTGGTGTCCTCGCCTAATTTCGGGGGCAACAACGTGGATTGGCCGTGCTTCATCTTCAAACGCCTGCTGAATCCTCCAGCGTCGCCTCCTGCCCTCGTCTTTGCCGCAGTTAAGGACCAGAACATCCCAGGCAAGCTTTGCCTGTCAGGTTCGCCGTCCCACACAGGTGAGGTGGCGAAGCTGTTGCATGGGGCCTTAAGGAATGTGAAAGGGCACGATCAAGTGGCTTTGTCGAAAGACGAGTATGACGCCGACTGGGAGCATGTCATCCGCAACACCTCGATCACCACCGGCCACCAGGCCTTCAGCTTCAAAACCGCATACTTCCCAAGGAACGACAGCATCATGGCCCTGACGCGGACCATGGGCAAGCAAGGCTGGAAGTTGATAGCCTGTCCAAGCTTCGGAGGCATGGGTGCCTCATGGCCAACCTTCCTCTGGGAGTATGAAGGCACTCCTTTTGAAACGGCCTTTGTGGCCATCAAGGACCAAAACTGGCCCGGAAAGGTGTGTTTGGGAGGAGTGGGAAAGGAGGTGACCGAGGGTATCCTCAATGGTCTCAAGGTCATGAGCGGCCCGGATGTCCAGTGTGCTAAAGATGACTACGACCAAGACTACGACATAGCCTTCAGGAACACAAAGATGACCACAGGACATGCTTGCTGCTCATTTCAGAACAGTTGGTGGCCGTATGCATATCCAATGGAGCTGATCCTTGGTGAGCTTCACAAGCATAAGTGGCTCCCTGCTGGGGGACCGAACTTCGGGAGCATGAAGCTCACATGGCCAGCTGTCCTCTTGCAACGGAAAGTCGAGAGCAACGGCACAGAGGATGCTGACATAGAGGCGGCTCCGGTCTAAAGCGACCTGGGGTGCATGATTTTTGGGGCCATTCGGGCCCGACTCTTTCTGTAGCCGACTGTAGCCATGAGTCCAGGTTGAAACGGAACCGGGCACGTGGAATAAATCTTGACTCTGACGAGCCAGAAAAAGGTTTGCACAACGCCGCAGATGTGAGCAGATTGCGAGTGTGAAGAGAAGCCGTTTGGCTAAGGAGCGATCGGCTGGGGGTGCTGGCCTTGGCCTTGTGCTCTGCCAAGGAGCTTCTGTGTTCATACGTTATGAGGTCCGAGACTGCATCGCTCCTGGTCCCTGTCGACCAAGCAGGTGATGCAGGACCGTGGTGGGAAGGATGAAAAGGCAATTCCAAATTCCAGCCTCTCTGGTGAGGCAATTCCTGTCCTGCTTGGCAGGATCTCAGCTTCACGGAGGTCGGATGCGTCGCGGCGTCGCAGGGTCGCAGCGGGTTTTCTCGTCTTCGTCGGAGGCTGACGAGCAGCTCAGCCAGGAGATGCTGAAGGCGGGCCGAGGGCGATGCCAGGGTTCCTCTGCTGGTGGCGTCTGGTGGCGTAGGAGGTCAAGGCAGCCTTTGATCTGTGTGATTCCGATGGATCCGGCGAGATCAATGCGAAGGACGTGAGAACCGAGCGCCGAGTCTCATTGATGTCCAGTCTAGCACATTGCAGGAGCTCCACCTTGTGATGAGGGAGCTAGGTTTCAAGGACTCCAAAGAAGAAGTTGGCCGAATGATTGCTCAGGCTGTGCCGTGCCAGCACCGTCGTAACTATGCATCGCGAGTGGCAGAAGTAAGTGCGCTTGTCAATCCTGACTCGACGTCGTGTTGAAAGATTATCATCCACTACTGTCTGTTGGCAGATAGACGAAACCGGAAGTGGGCCGCTGAACTTCGACAAGTTCCGCTGCTCGCCAGCAAGGCTCAGTGTCGACTCGCGGAAGGGTTGGCTTTTGCCACACTGGGGCTTCGAGATGAACTTGGTTTCCAGCCTTCGGTCCTTGCCAGCCTGGGCATTCCGCGATTCCTTCGTGGTTCATGGTTCCAGACCTGGCAGCCTTAGGAAGACATAGGATAAGGGGTATGATGCAAAAGCCACAATGGTCTGCGAGGCTGCATGGTCATCAGGCCGGCCACTCAAGTTTTCAGTGCATTGTCTCTCTCTCTCTCTATCTCCCCCTCTCTCTCTCTTTCTCTCTTGCTCTCTCCATGTGTCTGTTTTGCTCTCTCTGTCTCTCCCCCTCCCTTTGAAAATAAGTTAATCTGCAGTTGCCATTATCGTACGTCTCTTCACTGTTCTTGTTCTGCAGCTGCTTTCACATCGTCGACGGTGGCGACAATGACGACTGGTGTGGGCACCACTGTACATTGTATTCTACCTACCGCCACGGCAGCTGCCACTGGGACTGTGACTGCAACTGTGACCGCGACTACCACGATCACTGCGACTACCACGATGACGACGACTGCTACTGCCTGCTGATCACCCTACCGCTACTGCCACCACCAGAACTGGAACCGGTCATGGTTGCAACCATGCATACATTCCGTGTAATTGTTACCATCCCACAAATCGACATGCGCGTGAGCTTGCCACGACGAAGACTTCGCATCACCGAAAGGAATTGGATTCGTATTTCGCACAGTCGTAGCATTTCTCATGTTCCCACGAATCGACATGCGCGTGAGCTTGCCACGACGAAGACTTCGCATCACCGAAAGGAATTGGATTCGTATTTCGCATAGTCGTAGCATTTCTCATGATTGTGTGTTACTACTATTGTTTTTCTGGCAACTTCTTGTTATCATTGTTACCATTTTTATTATCCATGTTTTGTATGACAAACACTATCGTTTTCACTGCATTGTATGATTAAGACTATTATCATCAGCTGTATCAGTACTATTATTATTATTATTATTACTACGCTTCTTATGACTATTATTATTATTATTATTATTATTATTATCATTATTATTATTAGTATCATTACTGTATCATTACCACTAGTACCGTTATTATATCCATATTACCATGTTACTAGTCGTCGTTGTGGTGGTTGTGGTTGTGGTTGTGGTTCTGTTTGTCTTTGTCCGACCGTTTGTCTGTCTTGTTGTCGTCGTCTTTGTAACAATTTCCATTGTCGTTGCCATTGTCGTTGTCGTTGTTGTTGTGGCTGTGGTAGCCGCTACGGATCAGACTGGCAG